AACTCCTTCCTGCCCAGTGCCATTAGTACAGTGTGCTTTTTTTTTTTAAACCACTGATCACTTTATTGGTGTCAATGGGGATGTCAGTGACACCAAGTTAGTTCCCCCCCAGTGTCAAAATGCCCACCGCAGTCTCACTACAAGTCGCTAATCGCCACCATTACTAGTAAAAATTAAAAAAAAAAAATTAAAAATCCCAGTATACATACCGCCATTTGTGAACGCTATAACTTCACATAAACCAATTAATTTACATACATTTTGGCCTAAAGTTATGATGAAATTTGATTTAACATTTTTTTTTACTGAACATGTTTAAAGTCACAAATGTTCTCAAAATTGTCAGTCTTATTTTTTAATAGAGCAAAAAATAAACGCACAGGCGATCAAACACCACCGAAAGAAAGCTCAATTCGTGGGGGGAAAAAAAAAAAAAAAAAAAAAAAAAAAAAAAGCGTAAACTTAATTTGGGTGCAGCGTTGCATGACCGTGCAATTGTCAGTTAAATGTAACAGCACCAGAATGCAAAAGGAGGGGGGGGGGGGGGGGGGGGGGGGGGGGGGTGTAAATCCTCAGGACGACAAGTGGTTAAACTAAAAACTAGCATGATGGAAGAGGAAACATATACACCCCACTCAGCACAAACTGTTGGCTTAAAAATATGCAAGCAAACCTACTTGTTCACTGTAAATCTTCAATTCATGTGACCCTGGAACAAGGTAAAACAGAACTACAGGATTTCAATTGTCTTTAAAATAGCTTGTTTAGTAATAAAAGTTGCTTTTGGTCAGCTTAGTCCAAACCGTGTGGCCACTGTGTGTGCGCGCGCGCGCTGTAATGGACCAAAAGTAGCATTAGCTACACACACTATGCAGGTTACAGCAGCAATACAAGCAACTTCCTGTCTGCTGCTGGAATTAGAGTTGGGCTAAATGCCTGTCTGCTATTCAGGAGAAACCTTGAAATTCTTATCCAATACAAGGCTTCTTCTGATTGGATGAAGTGGAAATAATGACAGTCACCTGTCTCTCTCAATTTGGCCCGAGGGAGGCTTGTATTCACTGATAAAATTACAAAACTTCTGCAGAATAGCAGACTGGCACTCAAGCCCAACTAATTCCAACAGCAGACAGGAAGTTGCCAGTACTGCTACAGAAAACAGAACTGCATACCGTATGTAGCTAATGCTACTTCAGTCAATTACAGCAAAGTGGTTACATTGTTTAAAAATTGAAATAGGATTGTGACAGCTTGGCCTAAACAAACCATTGCAAGTTAAGTGAAGTCTAGAATTCTACTTTAAAGAGTAAACCCAAAACCAAAAATGTAATATATAGCAGCTTACTAGTCCATGATGTAGTGGCAGCATGTTTTTTTTTTCCACATTTCTTTTGCTTTATCTCTTGGAAATCTCACTAAATACAGTTGTGACCAAAATTATTCAACCCCCAATGCTGTAAAGGGGTTTAGGGACTATAGTGTACATTTGGAATTGTATTCAGAAATCAAATCCTACAAGGACGTTGTAACTACCCAAATGCAACTAAAATGACATCAATTGTTTATGTAATACAGTAGTAAATGGTTCTTATGTGGTTTCTTCATTGCCACAATTATTCAACCCCTTAAAGACTACCACTCTGAAGAACAGAGTTTCATACAGGTGCTTTCCATCAGGTATTGAAAACACCTGTGGATGTCACCGAGCAGCAATCAAGCATAATAAGCACCAATTAGGCAGCTTTAAAATGACTGTGATACTCAGCTCCTTCTAGACATTTACTGGTGTGGTTACAAACATGGTGAAGGCAAGAGAATGGTCCAGGAAGACAAGAGAAGAGGTGATTTCTCTTCACAGGAAGGGCAATGGCTATAAGAAGATTGCAAAGATGTTAAACATACCAAGAGACACCTTAGGAAGCATCATTCGCAAATTCAAGGCAAAGGGCACTGTTGAAACGCTACCTGGTCGTGGCAGAAAGAAGATGCTGACTTCGACTGCTGTGCGCTACCTGAAGCGTAAGTGGAGAGAAGTCCCCGTGTGACTGCTGAGGAACTGAGAAAAGATTTGTCAGATGTGGGTACAGAAGTTTCAGCCCAGACAATAAGACGCACACTGCGTAATGAAGGCCTCCGTGCCAAACTCCCAGGCGTACCCCCTTGCTGTCTCCAAAGAATAAGAAGAGTCGACTGCAGTATGCCAAAAGCCATGTGGACAAACCACAAAAGTTTGGATAGTGTTCTGTGGACTGATGAAACAAAATTAGAACTGTTTGGGCCCATGGATCAACGCTATGTTTGGAGGAGGAAAACAAGGCCTATGATGAAAAGAACACCTTGCCTACTGTGAAGCATGGTGGAGGGTCAATCATGCTTTGGGGCTGTTTTGCTTCTGCAGGTACAGGGAAGCTTCAGCGTGTGCAAGGTACCATGAATTCTCTTCAGTACCAGGAGATATTGGATGGAAACGTGATGCAGTCCGTCACACACCTGAGGCTTGGGAGACGTTGGACCTTTCAACAGGACAATGATCCCAAGCATACCTCCAAGTCCACTAGAGCATGTTGCAGAGGAAAGGCTGGAACATTTTGGAGTGGCCATCGCAGTCACCAACTTAAATCCGATTGAGAACCTCTGGTGGGACTTAAAGAAAGCAGTTGCAGTGCGCAAGCCTAAGAATGTGACTGAACTGGAGGCCTTTGCCCATGAAGAATGGGCGAAGATACCCAGATCGCAAAAGACACTTGTGTCAAGCTATGCTTCACGTTTAAAAGCTGTTATAACTGTAAAAGGATGCTGTACTAAGTACTAAGATTGAATGTCACTTGGGGGTTGAATAAAACTGATAATGCTGTGAGCACAGAAAAGACATTTGTGGTTATTTCATTATAACTGTTATGTTATATTTGTCTGACCTACAAGTGCCTCTTTAATGTAAATGTAAGCAAGATGACTGAATGATCAAAAGCAATGTCAAACTGGCCAAAACACTCAATTTCAGTGGGGGTTGAATAATTTTGGTCACAACTGTACTTCCCGTCCCTGGGTGGCTACCTCACTCCACTGTACCTATGGAGGGAGCCCTGGTGGTCACCCTAGTCTGCTCTCCTGATATAGAAAACAAACATGTCATTTTCTCCATCACATAGGGAGCAGGGCAAAATGGTAGTTAACTGAAAATAACTAGGAAGGCAGATATTCTGTGTCGTTCACAGAAAGCAATACTGCATTTTCTGACATGTATTTTCTGCATGCTTGTTGAAAATGTTCAAAGGAAAACTAAATCAGCCAGCACATCTAAAGTTCACCATACAATCTAGACCTAGGCAATCCATTAAATGCAAATCCAACCTGTGCAGGCCCTTACACAGGGCGTTTATTTCATTTGCCAGAATATTAATTTATTCTAGCCATTGAAATAAAAACATTCAAGTGCTTAGACGCAGCTGATGTTTTTTTCTGCCCATGAACGTGATTTTGTCATGATCAGATTCCTAACCCCTAAAAGCCCCTGCCTCTAAACTCCTCTAAGATCCTGTTCACACTTGAGCATTTTTTGACCATCAAGCAGAAAAGTGCTGAACAAGCAAAATCCCATTCATTTCAATGGCCCCCCCCATTCACATTTGAGCATTTTGTCGCTCAAAAAAGTACATGAGTGGGATCTTGTCATGCAGGAAACATACCAAAAAACACAGTACATGTGTTTTTCATGCATTTCCATCAAAGTCTATGGAACCAAAAACACAAACTGTTGCGGGCAAAAAAAAAAAAAGTCCCTGATCCCTTTCCCTAAACACACTGGTTAAAACGCACAGATGTGAACATGACCCATATGAAGATAATGTTAAAATGGACTGTAGTGCGTTTCTGCAAATCTGAAAACGCACTGCAAAAATGCATTAGGTGTGAACATAGCCTAAAACGTGTTTTGACAATTGCAGTATTTATGAGGCCTTGCCCGCTGAGCAAATGGAAGGCTAGTCACCGACACAATCCACTGTCTCTATGGGCGGTTGGATGTAAACAGACCACCTGTCCATTTACACCCGACTGCCATTCAATCCAACGGATGGGAAACGAATCCCCATCGGTCTGTTTTTAGTGGCTCAGATGTAGGTGGGTGTAAATGGACACAAATCAGTTTACATCTGCCAACCCATGAAGGATAATTGAGGGTCCGATCAGGACCACCTACAAAATTGACAAGTGGACCCACCCACGTGAAAGGGGTCTTAGACTTACTATACTACAGGACAAATCTAAAAAAATATTCACTTTGCATCAATGTTGCTTTGCTTGATCATTGGTTGATACAAGGACTTGTCCAAGTGACAAGCAACAGGCAGTGATGATGTAAGTTGCCCCAAGTCAATGGATTGTGGCCAGAAGGAGGGGAGAAGAGAAGGAAAAAAAAAAAAAAAAAAAAAAAAAAAAAAAAAAAAAAAAAAAAAGGGGGGGGGGGGGGGGCGCTGGGGTTCTACAGGTGTGTTTACTCCTAAGTGATTCACATTGGTGCGAAAACCACAGTTGATCCCCATGTGAGGGCACTAAAATAACCATCAAACTACCCTGTATGGTAGATTTTTCGCACAACTGTTTGGTTTGAATCTGTCACTCATTACATGGTTGTGCCAGTTCTCGCTGAACTGATGTTCGATTAGAGGACTTTGGCAAATTGGCCATTGATCACGCAGTACAATGATCATAAAAGTAGATTGTACAGATTGCATAGTGTGTGACGAGCCTGTAAGCTGCGATCTATGACATTTTGGTGCTCAGATGTCCTCTACTAACCCCCCCCCCCCCAGCAGTTGCTGCCTATGCAGGGAATAACACGTTGCACAGCAGTCCCTCCATGCTGCACACGGAAACACGTAGGCCGTCCTTACTCGCGGCTCCTCTTCCTCCCACCCACTTCAAAGGAGACCAAGCCTCTGGAAGAAGGGTTGCGCCCCTCAACCCCCCCCCCCCCCCCCATAAAGCTGACATTTCCTCCACTATGTCCCCAGCCAATAGGCTGATCCCGTAGAGGAATAATACTCCGTACCGGATTTGGATGCGGGGTTGCCGGCCTCGAAGCCCAGAGCCCTGCCCGTGGCCGGATCCTTCTTGTATTTGGTGTCGAAGGGCGAGTGGTTGTGCTGCATGGCCATCAGCGTGTCCCGCACCGTTTTGGGCTTGCTGATCCATTCCTCCGGCCTGCTGCCCTTGTGGCTGTCCCCCAGTTCGGAGTAGCTGTCCGCCCGGTGCTTCTCCTTGGCATCGTGCTCACTGCTGGACACCGAGCCGGGCCTCTTGCTCCCCAGGTCCCCGGAGGTGGTGGCGGCCACCAAGGAGGCGGCGGTGATCCCCAGCGGAGGAGGCCGGGGCCCCAGAGGAGAGCCGTTCATCAGGGCGCCCAGGGCGGCGGGCACCGCGCTAGTCCTGCGAGGGTTGGGGCTCTGGCGGTTCAGCTCCGGCGGATCCTCTGGCTTGGGAAAGCCGTTGGGAAGAAGGATGCCGTTGACCGGACGGCCGATGCTGTAATCCGAAGCCAGGCGGGGCGGAGGCCTCTCTCCCACCAGAGGGTAGCGGTCCAGGCACTGAGGAGGGGGCGGCTGCTGAGAGGCCCTAGAGACGCCATCCGGCCCCCCCACCGGGTGTCCGATCTGCGCCATCTCCTTCACCCCCAGCGGAGGCTTCACCGACGACGAACCGCTGGAGGACGAGGCACTCGGGGGCCCCGGGGATCTCCCCTCCTGGAAGCCATGAGCCCGCTTCAGGTGCCGGGCCGTTTCGATGACGAACTCAATCCGATCGGCTCCCTCGTAGTTGACGCAGCCCCGGCACACGGGTTCGGTGAAGTCCCAGATCATCGCCCATGGCATGCGGGGCAGGTCACACAGGTAACAAGACTGTCTCCGGGAGGCGGCGATGGTGGCGGATGACATAGCAAGAAAGAGCGAGCCACACGAAGCCGAGAACAAGGCGGGGGCCGAGCCGGGGAGGTGGACAAGCGTCACGGGGCAGAGGCTCTTCAGCCGCGGGGAGATGGGCGGCAGCGCCCTCCGCCTAGGCTGCTTCTCGGTCCGGCTCCAGTCATGTACACTACGCCCGGGAGAGGGAGGAGGCAGAATTCTTCTCTATGAAGAGCTTCTCTCGCTTTCCTCAGCTGCACAGCTCTCGGGAGGGGGTGGGAGGAGTGAAAGAAAAGGGGGAAGGGATTCGCCTTTTCTATTGGCTGCGGCTTCAGTCACCAGAGGAGCCCCCTCACCAAGACTGCTGCCAAAAGCTCACAACAACTCCGACTTTAACCCATTCCTAGGCTGAGCCTGGGCAAAACCCGCCCGACACCAGTCTTTCCTCACCCAGCATCGCGATGAAACGGCCCCACGACCCAGGGAACGGCGGCTCACTTTTTTTTCCCGCCTCTCTGACGAGCCTTGCTGGCAAAGTCGCTGACGTCACGGGCGAGCCGACCGTTGTGATTCCATTTCTCTATTTACTTGATTCTTCGACAGTCCCCGGCCAGCCACCACCGCCTCCCTTCTGCGCAGGCGCACTAACTGTCAATGAGCTTACACGCCCACGTCCCCCCCTTCATTCTTTGAACTGCTGCCAAGACAACAAACAAGAGCTGCTGCAAGAGAACCACTGACTCAGACAGTTACTATGCTTTGCTGTAAGGGCTGGGGGAGGGGGACATTATGTGCGTGTGATGCAAACACAGGCCTTCACGCAATTAAAGAGAAACTCCGGCTTTGGAGACAGATCCCTGAATCCTGGGGGAAGAGGGAACAGACAGGGATCACCTTAGTGCTGTCACAAGCCTTGCCATTCACATTATTCCGTTTTCTCAGCAGTGATGATGCAAATGGCTCTGACCTGAAAATTATGTAATGAGGAACTACACTGTACTTGGGCACCCCAAACTAAAGAATTATTTGATTAATGTTTAACCACTTCCCTACCACGCTATAGGTGAGCGATGGCTACAGCGCGGTCATCCAGTTCTGGGAGGGCATCATATGACTTCCAGAACGCAGCCCTAGCAACACGATCACTGTGTCCTTTGGACACAGTTGATCACATGACATGGTAAAAGGCCAATCACAGCGGCCTTTTACCACATGATCAGCTGTGTCCAATCACAGCTGACCACCATGTAAATGCACTTGCCGATTATTGGCAGTACTTTCCTCACACTGTCAAAGTGTGAGGAAAGTACTGCCGATAACCGGCAACTGTCAAAGGAGACATCTGCACTGATAATCAGTACAGCCCCAACAGTGCTGCCCATCAGTGACGCCAGACACTGATTATCAGTGCTCCCCATCAGTGCTACCTATTAGTGCCCATCATTGCAGCATCATCATCAGTGCCTCCTCATCAATGCCCACCAGTGCCACCTCATCAGTGCTGCCTATCTGTGTCACCTCATCAGTGCCCATCATTGCCACCTATCAGTGAAGTATCATCAGTGCCTCCTCATCAATGCCCACCAGTGCCACCTCATCAGTGCAGCCTATCAGTGCTGCCTATCCATGCCACCTCATCAGTGCTGCCTATCCATGCCACCTCATCAGTTTCCATCAGTGCTGCCTATCCATGCCACCTCATCAGTGCCCATCAGTGCTGCCTATCCGTGCTGCATATCAGTGCAACTTCAGCAACACACATCAAGGAAGGAGAAATATTACCTGTTTGCAAAATTTTATAATAGAAACTAAAAAAAAGAAAACCTTTTTTTCCCCCAAATTTTCACTTTTTTTCCATTTACAGTGCAAAAAGTGAAAAACCCAGTGGTGATTAAATACCAGCAAAAGAGAGCTCCATTTATGTGAAAAAAAAAAACGGATAAAAATTTCATATGGGTAGTGTTGCATGACCGCGCAATTGTCATTCAAAATGTGACAGCACTGACAGCTGAAAATTGGCCTGGAGAGGAGGGGTAAAAGTGCCCAGTAGGTTAATATTCAAAGCATCCACCCATATCTCCATGCTTTATTTTGCAGAGAAATCACCTATAAAAACATCTAGGATTTCTGGCTGTTTCCATCTTGAGTAAGAGCAAATGATTCATGGAGAAATTACTTCATTGGATCCATCTGCCCTTAGCTCAGGCATGCAGGCAGGAGGGCATGCTTAGCTGTGAACCCCCCCCCCCCCCAAAAGAATCCTGAGGTGTATGACATCATGTGCTTAGGCCTGGAAACTAGGAAGTAACTAAAACCAAGTTACTAATGCTAGCAACATAGGGATTCAAAATAGTCTATGTTGATTGCAAGAGTGAAGTTCCACTTTGAGACACCCCCTTCCCCAATACCATATATTTACTGACAGAATTCAAATATTGTATCCTTCAGTTTGCATGCTCTAATGATTTTCTGTGACTATTTAAAATGTGATTTTGATAGGGCATACATGGTTACTAAGGCCTCATGCACCCTGGGTGCGTTGGGGGCCATGCACCCACACAGATATCATATTGGGAGCAGCGGCTGTGGTCCAATTGACAGCCGTGGAACATGTGTATCCCTGTGTGGGTATACACAGTCATACTGCGCATGGATGCATACGCCCCACATGAAGGAGGTCTGAAGCTTTTCATGTACTGTAAAGCAGGCCATACATTAAAGTGGTTGTAAATGCTGAAGGTTTTTTAACTTCATGCATTCTATGCATGAATGTAAAAACCTTCAGTGTGCAGCAGTGCCCCCAGCCCCCTCAATACTTACCTAAGCCTCATCGCGATCCAGCGATGTGAATGACAGTTTTGGCTGTCACGGGTCTCTGCCTCCTCATTGGCTGAGACAGCAAGCGATAGCCATTGGCTCCCGCTGCTGTCAAACACAGCCAGTCAGCCAACGAGGAGAGAGAGGGGGGCGTGAATGGACACACGGAGCAGTGGATGCCCCGATAGCAAGCTGCATGCTGTGGGGGCACCCGACAAACAGGAGGAGCCAGGAGAGCTTGCGGGGGACCCGAGAAGAGGAGGATCCGGGCTCCTCTGTGCAAAACCACTGCACACAGTAGGAATCGCTTTAAGCAATTTTGTTCCTGCAACCATGGGTTGCGTCAATGTTGATCCCTCCCTTGGAGCTTTAGTATTCTGATAGCAGGAGGTTTCCCATCCATCAGAATGCAATGATCACTGCTGGTGGCTATAGCTGCTGGCAGTAATCAAATTAAAAAACCTGACAGACATCAGTCCCTAACCCTCGCCAATTGTCTGCAGAGTCAATAGCTAAAGACCTTCAAACATTGTGTGGCCTTCAGATTAGCACAACAGTGTGTAGTGAGCTTCATGGAATTGGTTTCCATAGCTGAGCAGCTGCATCCAAGCCTCACATCACCAAGTGCAATGCGAAGCCTTGGATGTAGTGTTGTAAAGCACGCCGGCACTGGACTCTAGAGCAGCGGAGACGTTCTCTGGAGTAACAAATCACGCTTCTATGTCTGGCAATCCAATGGACGTGTCTGGGTTTGGTGGTTGCCAGGAGAATGGTACTTGACTGACTGCATTGTGCCAAGTATAAAGTTTGGTGGAGGGGGATTATGGTGTGGGGTTGTTTTTCAGAGGTTGGGCTTGGCCTCTTAGTTCTAGTGAAAGCAACTCTTAAGGCGTCAGCATACCAAGACATTTTGGACAATTTTATGATCCCAACTTTGTGGGAACAGTTTGGAGATGCCCCTTCCTGTTCCAACATGACTGTGCACTAGTGCACAAAGCAAGGTCCATAAAAACATGGAAGAGTGAGTTTGGGGTGGAGGAACTTGACTGCCCTGCACAAAGTCCTGACCTCAACCCAAAAGAACACCTTTGGGATGAATTAGAGTGAAGACTGCGAGCCAGGCCTTGTCGTCCGACATCAGTGCCTGACCTTACAAATGTGCTTCTGGAAGAATGGTCAAACATTCCCATAGACACACTCCTAAACCTTGTGGACAGCCTTCCCAGAAGGGTTGAAGCTGTTATAACTGCAAAGGGTGGGCAAACGCAATATTGAACCCTATGGACTAAGACTGGGATGCCATTAAAGTTCATGTGCGTGTAAAGGCAGGCATCCCAATACTTTTGGCAATATAGTATATAGAGAGCCATGCTCCAGGTTTCAAAAATATGGAAAGACATACAGTGGAGCAATCATTGATAAGCTGTGTGCTGATATGGCCATATTGCTAAATTTATCTTCTGCACTGCTCTTTTTTTTTGTGAACAAGCAAAAATACTCAATGTTTGTGACATTCATTAGGCAGAAAAGTGTACAGCTTTGGTGTAACAATAATGTTATACTGTCAACTCTGCCCCTCTAGAAAACAATGACACTTACATTTATATATAAAACATACCATTCTAAATTAGGCATTCAGGATAGTTTCACAGGGGCAGCTGAGAGGCAATAAAAACAGGTGGTTGAGCCATGGTTTTACAGCCCCCAAAGCCTACAATACACCCGGAGAGGGCAGTTCACATGCATCAGGCTATGGCAAATCTAGCATGGCATGTCAGATTTGCCCATGCAAGTCAATGGGGGATGCACCACAACTGCAAAAGAATTGACGTTCTGCAAAAAAAACAGACATTCAGGAGGCAGCAGTATCACCTTCTGAACACCTGACATCAGCCACTTAGCTGCACTCTCAAAAATAATCCACCGCGGATCACTTTTCAGTGAACAAACAAGAAAGAACCTAGTTTGGAAAAACAGGAATTTATTGCTATTTTATTCTTACACATTGCAGGGACACCTAGTATGTGTCATAGAATCATATGTGCACCCTAATAGTATGTATATTTTTTGTATGGTTATGTATGTCGTTTTTAAATGTATCATATTAAGTGCCCATTCATACTTTAGATTTGCAGTGTAGTGCATTAATAAAATAAACACATTGTGACATGTTAATTTGGAAATATTGGTGCTTTTACCTGCAGAAAGAAGACCGC